GACACAATCAACATCTGTGATACGAATTCGCTTTCCAGTTAATTCTGATATCATAGGTCCTTTCTGTAGACTAGGTATAGATCCACATATTATTAGACTGATCTAAAACAGGAATCTTGCAGCTATAACCAGTATGCAGACTCTCAACATTTATTCCATAACATTTATGATTAATATCAGAGTTCTTCCTCCAAACCCATGTGTTAATTTTTTATGAGCTTCTGATCTTATTCCTAAGGATTCTACTGCTGATTTTAAAACACAGGAATATTCAGATCCAATATCGATCAAAGATCGAAGATGAAGTTTCTTGCCTTCATGCTGAATGGCAACCACTAAAGCTTAAAGCTTTGCTCAAGAAAGAGCACTAATTTCACAATTTTCTTGATTGCATTCAACAGTAACTTTTGATTTCTGCTTAAATTCTAGACAACAAACAATGTAATAATGCTTTCTGGCACAAAACATGCATAGAACTTTCTTTTACAAGTTTTAGCTGGATGGTTTGTTTTCAAACACATACAGCAACATTTTTTCTCTTTCATAATTTTCAATTTTTCATCATGACTGAAATTTTGTTCTTTGTAGCAATCTTTGCTTTGATGAGATTTTTCACAGAATATACAGTTTATTACATTATTGTAATTTATTTCTTTTGTTCACAAAATCAAGTTGCTTGCAATAGGTATAGTAATATATTCCCTATCCTTATGAATTTTTTTGTAGGGATCACTTTGATTCATGCCTGACTTTGCTAGAGTTAATCTTTCTCCCCCTTCGATCTCAGTCCTTAGAAAATTTAAAAGCTGTGTCAGTCTTACACTATAAGATTTCTCTTCATTTACTGAGTTTCTCAACGAAACTTTTAACACATCTAGACTCCCCAAGCAGAAAAATCCTTGCAGAATATTTGCCTGAGGTCATCCTAATGGATTCTAATGATCTGAGGTGGGATTCAAGTTTATCATATAATTGAGTGATACTAAGTCTTCATTTGGTAGCATTTTTAACAATTAAAGTTAACTGTTCACGAGCATAGAATTCCACTAAGAATTCCTCACTGCCAAATCTTGCTTTGAGTCTTTCACTTGCTTTTGTGTAATTTTTTTGCCATATGTGGAGAGCTACCAATGATCTCTTTTGCTCTTGTACCAGGCGACATGCACTGTATTAAATATTGGAATTTGTCTTCCAACTCCATTTCTTCATGCTTGTGAATTCGTTTAAACTGACTCCAGAAACACAACCATTCTTTAACTTCACTGCCAAATTTCATTAGTTCAAGTCTGTAAAGTTTTACTTTTGATTTTTCATTACTTAATATATTCCTGTTTGACTGTGATTTACTTTCTATAAAAAAAACTGACACAAGCTATGGCTTCATCAAATCTGACTTCATATTTTTTTACAGATACAAAATTCATAAGAACAACTTTTACCATAACATTAGCACTTAAGGCAAGTTATAAAATTCCCTTGTCACGAGTCATTAAATCAGCACTAATGCATTCTAAAGTAGCTAATTTAATCTTAACATCACTTATTTTTATATTTTCATCATCAAACAGAGCCATTAAATTTTAATATGTCTTAGTAAATGACATTCATAATGGAAATCACTTAACAAGATGCTCCATTGTAAACCAACACCAAAAATTAAGTGTTTCTTAGATAAAGTACTGACCTCTTACATTTCAATCACGTACTGAGGGTCACCAAATGTTGGATATGACAGTAAATGTCATATCTAACATTTGGTTCAACATTTGATCATTCATAAACTCATTTCTACCTAAATAATTTCTGTAAAAAATTAAAAGCACAAGTTCATTCTTAAAAAAAAAAAAAAAAAAAAAACCACTTTTTTTTACAACTGTTGCCACTAAAAGCAAAAGTAAAGGGAAAATAGTACTACGCTGGTTGAATGTATATGAACAATGATATATTTAACAAGACAGGATAAAAAAGCTAATTGAAATTTGTAATGGATGTGAGGCTAAAAACATATACAATGCAGATGAAACTGGATTATTTTATCGAATTTTGCTGAGTAAAACTATGTTTCAAAGGAGAAAAGTGCTCTAGTGGTAAAATCTCAAAGGAATGTCTCACTGTGTTACTTTGTAGTAACATGGATAGAGTTTGAGCATTCACTTATTGGAAAAGCAAAAAAATCACGGTGCTTAAAACACATCAATCCAAAATCTTCATCGGTCCATTCTCATCCCAATAAAAAATCATGGATGACACAAAGCATAATGTTAGAATAGGTTAATTGCTCTTGATAGAACAATGTCTAACAAAATAGGAAGATTTTACTTTTCCTTGACAATTTGCCTGCCCACCCACCAAATGTAAAACTGAAATGAGTGAAATAAGTGTTTTCCCCACCTAATGAAATATCAGTATTGAAGCCTTTGGACCAAGGTATAATTAGAAGCTTCAAGGTTGATTACAGAAAACTGTTTTTACGACATGTTTTTTGTTAAGCTGCTTGCAGAAACAGTGATCAGCTTGCAAAATGTGTCAATGTATTGTATGCCATTCAGTGGATAACGAAAACTATTAAATCCTAAACACAAAGTTGTGTTCAGCACTATTTTAAGGAAGCAGGCATTGAGAATCCAATTTCGAGTGCCCCTACTGAAAATACCACTGCTGAAAATGAATTAACTTGTCAAAATCAGTGGCAGTGCTAAAATGCAAGAGTATTTAGAAATCGATGAACACTTATATACTGAAGACACCAATGATGAAATAAAATCTTTTATTTCTACCGTAGTTGATGATCTGACAATTACTAAAAATAGTTTGGAAAGCAATGAAGATGATGAAAAAAATGCCATACAAAAAGTGTGACATAAAAGAATTAAAACCATAGTGACTTTAATTTCTACATGGAAAAAGGTGCATACACTTTCAAACAAACCCATGTAACGGATTACTTTCAATAACTTTATTGTTAATTTCACACATTTTTCAATAACTACTTTTTTAATTAAGAATATTTCATTTTCATTAATTTCAAATTCAAATAAATACCTGTGACTATGTTACTTATTTATACATAATTTATTTAAAGCTTGATACAACCTGAATTTCTAATTAAATAACATATTTTTAGTATGTAGTCTCTGAAGAAGGGACACCTCTATTTAAGGGACAAAATATCTGGTCCGGTAAGCGTAATGGCAAACCGCACATTGAGTTGATGAATGTTAAATGAATTTCGCTTACTGCACATGCCCAGAATAGAATTTGGAGCAATTTTAAAACAATATAAACATGGTATATGGTTGATATTGTGTTATCTGGGCGTACACAGTTTGGGGTTTTAAAATTTGTTAGGTTGTGAGTTGCTTCATTACTTAGAGTGTAAATATCGATTGTAAACTATGCAAATTTTCATTTAAGAAGGATTACAAAAGGGGAAACGTTACAAGATGTATTAGCTGAATGCTTATTGATTATACTTCTGAGGAATAAAAGCAATTGAATATTAACCATACATTCCATTCGTATATACGAGGGCTATCCAGAAAGTAGATTACGTTTTGGAATAAAAAAATAAACAAAGTATAGGAAACAAATTTTATTATATACAGATGAAAGCCACACTCAAATACTACTTTTCTACATAGTCACCATACAAATTAAGGCATTTATCGTAGCGATGTACGAGCTTGGAAATTCCTTCGTCGAAAAATTCAGCCGCCTGCGCCTTCAACCACTTCGTACCTCTCTTCTTGCAGCTGTGGCACAAAACTTGGTAACCAAGCTTTTCGCTGATGATTTCGTGCAACAAACTTCGCGAAATTTGTGGAAAACTCAAAGAAAGTTCCGTTATTGTGAAATTTCGTTTTCAACGGACTTTAGCATCGACTTTTTCGAGAAGTTCGGCGGTCACTATGCGGGGTCTCCCACTTCGATCTTCGTCGTGAACATTGGTTCGGCCATTTTGAAATCTTATGACCCACTGACGCACTCCACCTTCAGTGATAATGTTGTCCCCATACACTTCACGAAGCTGCCGATAGATTTCTATCGGTTTATAGTTTTTTTGCAGTCAGAAACCTTATTACTGAGCGCACCTCGCAGCTCGCGGATTTTCAATTAACGCAGACATTTCAAAAACCGTCACAGTATCTGAACGGAGCACAGCACGAACCTCTCACTAGCACGGCTAGATGCAGACTGAGCTGCGCAACGCTCTGACCCCAAGATGGCCGCGCTAGCCCCGCCCCTAGCGGACACAGACGGAAACGTAATCTACTTCCTGGATGGCCCTCGTACTTTCACAATTAAAGAATAAATCCAGTTTAACTTACTGAATTAAAGTCAAATAACTGATATTAAATGTAATATTAATGAACAAAATGAACCAAAATGAAATGAAACAGAAGCACATGCAAAGCACAACAAATTTCCGTAGTATTACAATTGTAAAAACAGTAAAATCAGCATGACTAACAGGCTTGTGCAGTGTTGTTTATGGTTAGCCGCCAGTCTTTCCTCCTACGCCAATGGTACACCATTGAGCATGTGCACTAAGCGAAATTCGTTAAATAATAATAAGAATAAATCCAGAAGAATAAATCCCAGTAGAATAAATCCAGTTTAACTTACTGAATTAAAGTCAAATAACTGATATTAAATGTAATATTAATGAACAAAATAAACCAAAATGAAATGAAACAGAAGCACATGCAAAGCACAACAAATTTCCGTAGTATTTCAATTGTAAAAACAGTAAAACCAGCATGACTAACAGGCTTGTGTAGTGTTGTTTATGGTTAGCCGCCAGTCTTTCCTCCTACGCCAATGGTACACCATTGAGCATGTGCACAAAGCGAAATTCGTTAAAATTGATCAACTCAATGTGCGGTTTTGCCATTACACATCCGGTAAGTGTCTCTTGTTGAGAGTTACTAGAGTACATCAGAATATCCGTATCGAACTCAGAATGAAATAACTGGTAAATGATAAACAATATGAATTACCTCAAGTAAACGAGCAGCACTATTTACACTTCCAGCATTAGTTATTTCTGTTGCATCCAGATTATCAATGATAGTGCCTAAAAAATAATATCATCATTATACGGTAATAAAATATATAAATAAACAAAATTTGACTAAAAAAATTTCTGCACATTTAGTTATTTAGAAAACCCTGTGTATTTATTAATAAAAGAAAATACTCATTTAGTAAGCCATAACATTTGGGCATAAACAGAAATAACTATTTCAAACTTTGATTCAGTAATTCGCATACAGTTTTAATTAAAAAGGGCTACATAAATAGAAAAAGAAACAAAAAATTATCAACCTAAAAACAGAACTTGCTTATGAAATATTGGATTACTGGTTTAACATGATGATGCTATGAAGCCAAAATTTTAATTGTACTGATTTGAATTGCATGGGAATGTCAAAAATTGAAATAAAATGAATTATTATTACACACATTTTACTAATAGTTTAGAATGGTTAAAATGAAAAATAGAATTTCTCAGGAAATTAAAATTCTTTCTACAAGTAAAGAGCTAATTTGTGGTCAACCACACAGAGACAAGTAAATCGTGAGTGTGGTCCCTGCAATTCCCGACTCCCAGCCATTACGAGGCGCCGCACGACATGTTTTTGACATCGTCGAGACAACTTCATGCCTAGTGTCAGGAGATTTTAATGTTCTACATAGTCTCTGTCATCAAAGCTTCTCGATTTCAGGAGGGGTGACAAACCAATGATCTGATTTTTCCTCTGATATCATTCCAGATATAACGAATCAGAGGATGTAAAATTACGGAGGGGTAGCTAATTGAGTCTGAAGATTTTTGCCATCGGACTAACATCAACAGAATGCTCCTGAACTCTCGGCTAGAGAGACCTACAATGCTCTTGAGCTCTCGACTAGAGAGAACTTCATGCCGTCCCGTCTTCAACGGAAAATCAGAAAAAGGCACCCATTTGCGCTAAAGGTTTTCTGCAACAGAGGAGCATCTAATTCTCACTTTCAACGGTTTTTGTGATAGTGTAACAATTGTGTAGTGATTCTGTGTACAGCATCGTATAGTCAGTGATTTGTGTGTGCTTACCATCTGCTTTATAATCAACTGTGTTTCTTCAAAAAATATTTTCTGCAAAAGCTTGCTGTTTCACGGAACTGAATGGATGAAAACAAGAACATGAAGTATGTTTATTTATTTCCTTTCTTCACTTATTCGCGGTCAAACACAGCTGATCGGGTGAAGGCTATTAACCTTTTTCTCCCCTCACAGATGGAGACGAACTTCTCCCCTTTTTCTTTGTCAGGGAAATGACAGAACCGCACGAAATCATAACTGATCAGGTTCATAGGATGGTGAAAATACCTCCCATTTGGAAATGAAATATCTTCTTATGGCTAAGGCAATGCGAGATCCAATTTGATCCAGCTGCAATTACTAACAATAACCCGAAAATTTTTGCGTATTGTGGCAAATTTAAACACATCAACTTTACCACATGTCTCAGATTTAATTTTAACACCTCCTGAAACTGACACATATCTAACTTTAAAAACAGACTAATCGCAGAGTTCCAAGATTCTGAAGAACAGCAAATCCGTAAACTTTTATCGGAATTAAAATTATGTGACAAAAAGGCCTAGTTTCCTTTTGAAACAAATGAAAGAGATAGTATCAAACAAAATACATGATGATTTCCTAAAAAATCTGTGGATACAGACTTCCTTCAAATATGCAAGCAATTTTATCCGCTTTGGGTGCAGATTTAGAACGTCTATCCCAGGTAGCAAATAAGGTGTTGGAAATCACAAATGATGCACAGCTCACTGTTTGTGCACCATTAAATATTGAACAAAAATCAGAGTTAAGCTTGGCGTTAAGCTTAATGTCCAAACAAACAGAAACTCTCACTAAGCAAGTTGAACAATTGTCTTAAAAACAATACAGTAAAAATCAAAAGACTGCGATAACCGCAATTGCTCAAAAAGTAGGCAACGTAATGTGCACATAAATCCTGCCAACACTGGTTATTGTTAATATCACCAGAAGTTTAAAGCTGATGCTCGTAAATATACATTTTTATGCTCGTTTCAGGTGGAAAACTTAATTCTGCTCCTATTCCGAAACAAGTCTTGGATACTAGAATAGCAGCGAACACATCCAACAGATTACACATATATGACAAACATACAAACATGAAATTTCTTCTTGACACAGGTAGTGACATTTATTGCCTTCCTATGCCAAAAGGAAAGCACTTCACTGCTACTACTCTACAGTTATTAGCTTTCGATCTCAGGCGAAATTTTAAATGGGATTTCATAACAGCTGATGTTTCAATTCCCATTATAGGCAACGATTTTCTCACTCATTTTTCATTACTATTTGATTTATAAAAGAAAAAAAAAGAATCATTGACAAAATAAAAACTATCGCTAGTAACAAATAATTAAGGTACACCATTCAACTGAATGTTAAAACTGTTTCAGATTGCTTTCAATATCACCAAATTCTTAGACAATTTCCCGAACTAACCACTCCAAAGCAAGATGGATTCGAACTGAAGTTTATCAGGAAACAAAAAAGAAGTTTGAATTTATGATAGAACAGGTAATTTGTCGACCCTCTAAGAGTAACTGGTATCACCTCTGCACGTAATACATAAAAAGTTGGAGATTACAGAGCACTTAATTCAGTTACAGTTTTTGATTCTTATCCTATTCCACATATACAAGATTTCGCTCAATATCTTCATGGCAGGGCTTATCATACACCCGCCTACGAAAAATGCATCCCTAAAACATCAGTAATTAACTGTGTAGTTACCCTTTTGGTCTTTTCGAGTTTCCTTATTTAAATTTTGGACTCAAAAATGCTGCTCAAATGTTCCAGCGTTTCACGCACGAAGTGTTATAAGGACTAGATTTTTGTTATACATACCTAGATGACATTCTAGTATTCCCAGAAAACAAAACACTAAACAACTCATAAACAACACATTCCCAAAGTTTTACACAAACTAAATGAATATGGACTAAAGTTAAATACTTCAAAATGTGTTTTCAGAGTCCTTGAAATAGAATTCTTAGGCCTTTTAATAACCAAGGATGGCACTAAACCCTTACCTGAACGAAATCGTGAACTTCGAAAAACCAGAAACTGTTAAAGATTTAAGGAAGTTCTTAGGCTTACTAAATTTTTTCCACAGGTACCTGCCACGTGCAGCACATATTCAAGCACTACCCAGCGAATATTTAAAAGGTTAAAAAAAGAATGACAAGTGAAAAATTCCTTGGTCTGTGCAAACAAGCAAAGCTTTTGAAAATGCTAAACACTTAGCAAATGCTTCATTATTAGCACATTCTTCACCAAATGCATCTACAATTCTACAAGTCAATGCCTGACTATGCTATTGGTGGATCTCTAAATCAAATTCCCAAACAAGGACTCGAACCTCTAGCATTTTTTTCTAGAAAGCTCACAACCACTGAGGCAAAGTACAGTGCCTATGATAAAGAGTTATTAGCAATATACTCATCCATTTGTAAATTTAGATACATGCTAAAAGCACACAATACAGTCAAAAGTCTTTAATTCGGACTCATCGGGCCTTCGGCCATTCCGGATTTTCGATTTTTCCGGATTATAGAACGTCAGTTTAACCCTCTCAGCATTAGGGGCGGAAAATTCCGTACAGAAGGTTACCTTCCACATTCATTATACATGAAAATTTCTGCTAGCTTATAATGTATCTGATTTCAGTTTGGATGTACATTGGAAGAAAAGGAATCAAGGTACAAAATGAAAGTCATTTTTTAATTAAAATCAAGAAAATATCACTTATTCATGATATTTTGAGAAACTTTGAAATTTCAGAGCTAAACCCGTAATGCTCAGAGAGTTAAATCTGGTAAGATGGCAAGCATAAATTATAAAATCAAAAATACGAAACCGTAATTTATGAATTAAGAACAATTATGATCTAAAGGGTATCAAAATTTCAAAAAAAAAAAAAAAAAAAGGCTTAATATTTATTTGTTACTTTATTAAACATTTCTTTCAACGTGCGCATGCGTAAAGCATACATTATGCAGAGTTGAAATTAGAAAATTGCAACCACAAAACTATTTGGTGTGTATTAGTGATATTTATAATGAATTTGATTTAAATCATATCAGAGTACATCACTACTAAATACTACATTTAGTAATGAACTATAAGCTGAATAAAATAAAAACATCTGCCCTGAAGATAAGGATAGTGCTGACAGATCAACTTCCAGCTCATTGCGCACCGCGACGTTACCCCCCTCCCCACAGAGCAGCGTGAAATTGATAAATAGATTTCGGAATGGTTAGAGAAACAAAGGATATGCCTTTATCCTTTTTGCAGCAATTCCACATTTTGTTTAATGGACATCGAAACTGCTTTCACTTTGTAGATCCTTTGGCAGTATCCAGCATCGGAAATTCTATTTGACATAATTGAAAGTTCAAGCTTACTTTTATAAAATTGCTCTAACAGTCTGCAAAAAATAATAAGCTTGATCCAATTCAAAGATTATGGAACAACGGATAAAATAGATAATTAGATAATTTTATCTTAGCTTATACCGTCCGTTATACATTAAACGCGCATGCGTACACGCATAAGCGCATGCATACATGCATATGCGCATGCGTAAAGGTATTATGTGCATGCGTAAAGGTATTATGCGCATGCGTGAACGCACTAGGGCAAATTTTGTAGCTTTGAGGTCCAGATTATAGATCATTCCGGATTATGACCGTCCAGATTAATGACTTTTGAATGTATTACATTATTTACTGACTACAAACCATTAATATTTGCTTTCAAACAAAAACTTGATAAATGCTTCCCACGTCAAACTTGTCAACTAGATTTTATTTCTCAATTTACAACTGATATTCAGTACATTGACCCTATCAGGGTGGGCGTCCCATATATGCATTCCCTAAGAACGTCTCTTACAGCCGGGCGTCCCATCCATGCATCACTATAGATGCATCAGCTGGACGGTGACGCATACGCATTTTAAGCTGGAACAT